GATTAATTTATAATCCAATTCATATTAAGTGACTCTTGCGCGCATTATGTTCCCTTTATTATAGCTCATTCCCTTCTTCTCTAAATGGCGGCGTGACCTTCAGGTTATGGAGTTTAATTATCTAGTAGAAACGTAAATAAGTCATGAGTTGTGTACTCAATCTTCATTATTAAATTTGGGAGTATTTTTATTAAAAATAAGTAAAAGTCGAAGCTAAGGGATCAGCGGACCTGTGCCTTCTTTTCTCATCAAATTTGGTTTATTTGGGCAGAAAATCCTCACTACTTGGCATTGGAAACGTACTTCTAGAACTCAGAGTCCGTTTGACTTCTATTGATTGTAGGATTAAATTTTGCCCCACTCCATGGTCATGGTTCCACTGTCCTCCACGGCCCACCGTCATTGGTGCTCATTCTTGCGTTACTGAGCCACGATTGGTCACTGGAGGGTCACCACTTCCTCCCTTTGTTTAGCGTGTCATGCTCAGCTGCATTTGTTTACAACGCTAAATGTCGATTAATTTCCCCCTAATTTTCTCCTACTGAGAAAAAAATTTTTTGGGATAGTTGGCGACGTCTTTTTTTAGGGTTTAATGCATCCTTACGTCACAAAGGTCTTAACTGTTTCAAGTTTGTTTTATTCTACTAACAATCAAAACTCTCTTGACTTAGCTTAAGCAACATCTATTGACTTGGTATTAAATATTCAATTTGGGATGCTAAATCAGTGGTTGTGTTCCATTAGTGTCCTCGTTTGACCTGCGCACACTTCGTACTACTAACTGAAGAGGCTATCACTTGCTTCTTACAGGAGCGAACCAGCAGCAGCAGCACCCACCACTCCCGCGACAGCGGCAACACAACCAGGGGGAGAGAAGACGGCACCTTCTGTGGTACCTTCAGAGCACCCTGCAGCCGTACCAGTGGGAGGTACGAGTGAGACGGGGGCAGCGAGGCGTCGTCGATTCTTAGAACCATCCCTCCTAGCCCGTCGACCAGCAGCTGCTTAGGAATTCTCCTTCCATCATCTTGTCGGACACACACACGTACATACATGGATATTTATTGCATTCCGTACCTCATTCACTCGCAAGGATACAGAGACGATAACTATCTTCTCCTCCTACTTCTTTTTTCCTTCTTTAGCGCGCATTCAGGCACTGTTGGTGTTATTTCTGCCTCTTCTGGCTTCACCAGGGAAATCATTCTGTTGTCTCTCCCATTTTAATTGTGCATCCCTGTTATCAATCTTCACATAGCGAAGCGAGGGAAAGGAAGTGGTTGGCGATGCACTTTCGCATGTCCACCATAAATGTTCTACTGTTGAAGAAAGAGCGAAATATTTCACTGTGAGTACTTGTAGAAGCCTTTTACTCCCTAGAGGACACTGAGGCACGGGCTGTGGAACACTAGCAAATGTGAGGAACTCAAGGTGGAACAGTGTCTACGACCTAGAATTGGCGGTTGAAAGGATGCAGCCTTCTAAGTAGTTGTACCTCAAGGCTCTTGGGCGCATTCTATCCTCGTGGTTTATGTTTGTTATCGTCGTTCTTTGGTTAAACACCAAGGACTGGTCGCAC